CGGCGTTTACATACTTGTGTGGCAGTGTAAAAGGACGAAGCCTATTCATTTTCAACTTCATTGATGGTATATTTCTTCAGATATCGCGTTGAACCCGTCTCGAAACCCTGACATTTTATGTACGAGTTGACAATAATCATTTCCGTTAGGGAACCAGTTTAAAAGCCGTGTCGAGTCTGCGGGAACCAGATTAAAAGAATTTGATGAACGTCGCGGTTTCATTACCAATTCGAACAGGTGTCTGGGAATTGGGTGCACGTTATTCCTGAAAGCTGTAAATGCAATCCACAATTAGTTCAATTAACCTCTCGATGTACATTTTTATTAAAAATGCATATTGCCTGAAACTGTGAGAAATCTTAGTTTTATAGGTACCGTAGGTAAATAATTTAAATTACTGAAACTTATACATGTACTGTAGCATACGTGATATATTTCTGCTAGGTATAAGGAAACTGCCCAATTACGTATGCATATCATGCCCCCGCCCCCAACCCACTAAAATTCTATGCAATTTGACTTTTGTTAAAAATAAACACCCCCACCCCAGATAATTTTGTTAAAAAAATAAATTTTGCTCAAAAATGATTTAATATCTTGTATTAAACTTTATTACCCCAAAGTAGGTATCCTTGTTGTGCCCCCCCCCCCCCCAACAAAGATGCTATGCAGTGCATTTTGTAAAAAAAAAAATGGATCAACAACAACACCCCGCTAATAATTTTGTCAAAAGTATTGGAGGTGATCCTAATGTTGCGGGTTTGAATCCCATGCACCGTGCGACGTGGAGACTGATCCTTCGCATGAGACCATGTAAACCGATAGATGCTGGCACAAAAAGGTCCCTCACTGCTTAATGGCTGTCAGTGTCTATAATTATTTTAGGAATGTGCAGCTCTCCTGACCGGCAAACCTTCATATGAGCAAATAATTCCTGAGAAGGGCATTAAACAAATTACATTGTACTATCAATCTTTAACATGTTTATCGTTCCTCGAGAGAATTTATCTTTCTTGAGATATTGCCATTTCCAGTGAAGTTCCTGTCGCGAGGGGATGCTCCGCTTAGCGATGCCCTTGTTTTTATAGAGTATGTATATTTTTGTATAATTAAATACCAAATCTAAATGGAATTGCTGTAAATGTCTGTTGCTTTTATTTGTGGTAATCGTAAAATCTGCGGGGTGACAGGGTTCACATTCTCTACCCGTCTTTTCGTTATAGAAGTCGGACACATGGCTTTCCGTGTACTGTACGTTTTTCACTGCATATTCTTTCGTTGTTTATATAACACACAGTGGTTTTCTATTTATTTTTCTCTATAATAGATTCGGATCATTTGACTCCCTATATTATACATGTATTGGTGGAGTCACATCGCTCACCATCATATACTTAGTATTCTCATATTGAAAATATATCCCGATGCTGCTTTCGTGAGCATCAATATTTGATTTCCGAACTTTGCACTTTTTGATGGAATTGATTGCAATACTGCAGACCTATCTCATAGCTCTTAATGAGTCATTTCTCTTCAGGTACTTCGTCATGGCTCAGGTGCAGATGATGAGGATGCACAATTCACGGGTGGCCCCGGAGGCAGATGGTGATGGATTCATGGATGGCTGGATGATTTGACCTCAAATGAAACTATATAAGTGCTCCTCTTACAGGAAGATTCGCCCGCATAACACAGTGCTTAGAGCGTCTGTTCTAAAGCCGCGGAGTTAGATGTTGATCCTTGGCAGGTTCGAATCATATCTTGGGACGTAGAGACCAGTCCTTCGGACGACATAGTGTAAAGCAAGGTCCCGTGTCGCAGTAGGTGCTGGCACGAAAATAATTCATCACTGCTCAATGGTTGATTGATTATTTATTGTTTAACGTTCCTCTTGAGAATTTTTTACTCGTATAAAGACGCCACAACTTGCCGGTTAAGAACTGAAAATTTTGTCCCATACTCGACACTCCACTACTGGACGAAAAAAGTGCTGAGAATCCCAAATTTTACTGATAATGTTTGATAATTACTGATACGGTGCTGTTCTTGCTGATAATTACTGATATTTACTGTTATTATTACTGTTGTTGCTGATAATTTTAGTTGTTGCTGATAAATACTGATAATTAGGCCAAAATAAAATTATAGTTTGTTTGGAATTGCCTCTCGCCTCATTGAAATGCACCCTCCTGTAAAAATTTTATTGACCAAAGTAGGAAGATTTTTTTTTCTTTAATCAATTTTTTTGCCCATCACATGCACCATACAAAACACAGATATATAGAGTCAGATCTATGTAAAATTAGTTTTTTCTGTTAATGGTAGATACTTTTTTTAAAAGTCAGAAAATGTATTTACTGTTTACTAAGATTTTTATCACAAACTTTAAATTTATCTTCAATTTAAAAAAAAAATTAATTTTCCTCCCTCCCTCCTGTGTCTGAAACCCTTCAGGCGGCAATTCCAAACAAACAATTTTTTTAAGGGTGGCCTTACTGTCGTCTTTTACTGTGGAGTCTAATAAATACTGAGAATTACTTTGGGACGTAGAGACCAGTCCTTCGGACGACATAGTGTAAAGCAAGGTCCCGTGTCGCAGTAGGTGCTGGCACGAAAATAATTCATCACTGCTCAATGGTTGATTGATTATTTATTGTTTAACGTCCCTCTTGAGAATTTTTTACTCATATATAGACGCCACAACTTGCCGGTTAAGAACTGAAAATTTTGTCCCATACTCGACACTCGGAGCCATTGAGCAGGGAGGGTTCTTTTCATGCCAGCTCCTGCTGCAACACGGGACCTCGGCTTATACGGTCTCATCCGAAGGACCGGTCTCCACGTCCCACAGTGGGTTTTAAACGCGCGACGTAAGGATTGACTCCTCACTTCGATATTCTAGAGCAGACGCTCTCAATACAGCGCCACACGGGCGACACTGCTCAATGGTCGTTAGTGCGGAGTTTAGCCTTCCACCGGAAAGTGGCGTCTCCAACAAGTGAAAATTTCTTGAGATGGATGTTCAACAACAAATGATCAATCTTGGGATGGAGCAGCCATATTTGCAAGTTGTGCTCTCATGTTTCGCATCTCAGTTGCCTACACAAGACTTTCTGGTTGAAAAGAAGTTGAAGCCACAGGACAGGATATGACACGTTATCCCATAGGTTAAATAAAATTTTAGAGTTGTCCAGAAAACTGCAGGGGATCGTTATTTCCAATCAAATTATCCGAAACATCATTTAGTGACTATTACTGTAAATTAATTAATTTGCATAACTTGCAGATAAATTTCAAGACGAGATCTAGAATTCTAGGGCTATTTCTGTAGTAAATGATAAGAACTAACAGAAAACGAGATATATTGTTATAAAGATATTATATTTAATATTTAATACAAGATCGCAAATCAAAAACAATTTATTAACAATTACGTACGGAAACGGTATCATTGTATTAAAATCAAGAGGAGTGTGCTATTGACCATTCTTATAACTCGATTTGGCCGATCCCTTTAAGTATATATTCTCATTTAAAGTAGAAAGTAACGGCTCCCTAAAAGATCCTCATCGGCCAGGTTCTACAGTCCCGGTATACGCAATACAACCCAGTCAGCCAAAGAAAAATAACTCGATTGATTGTATGTTGTTTAACCTCACTCATAAGAATTTTTCACTCAGATGGAGATGCCAAATCTCTTCGTTGGAGAGCTGAAAATTTTGTCCTATAACCGGTACTCAAAGCCATTGAGCAGTAAGGGATCTTTTTCGTGCCAGCACCTACTTCGACACAGGTTCTCGTTTTATACAGTCTCATTCGAAGAACGGTCTCCAAATCCAACAGTGGGATTCGAGCACGCGACGTAAGTATCACCTTCTTACTTTGCAATCCTAGAGCAGACGCTCCAATCACTGCGCCACGCGGGTACTAACATAAGTAAGGCAAACAATAAAAAAATTATAAATAAAATTTCCTTGATAAACAGTCGTTCATTTTTTTTGTTTTCCGCCACATTTTGGGGCCTTTTCAATGGAAAACTATATAGCGCTGCACAATTGAATACACAGGGACGCTGTTCTGAGGAATATTCAATTCAAGGCTAATAGCATCGTTTCAAGCCATGGTCCGGAGTCCGCATATTGCCCTCTCCATTTTGGCCGTGGTTCGCGACGATGGGCCAAAAGCTGCATTTTTTTTTGTCCGGACAGATATTTGTCAACAATTAACGAGGCCGAGTCTAATTCGTGTGCGCATCACTTTGCGCAGCTTTCTAATTTCATGCAGTTATTAATTATTTTAGTTTTAATACAAAATTAATATATTTGTAACTCTTCTGATCTGAAAATGTGATTTTACGACAATTATTGGAAAAAGAACGTTGAAATGGCGCGGAATTTATAAGCAATGCATGACGCTGAAGAATGACGCATGACTCGCTTGTATGTTCAGGACGTCCATGGACATGATGGATATTATACTACAAACTGATGACATTACTTCCCACGAAACATACTAGCAATCTAAAAATTCATCAGCAGAGATATGTATTTATACCGTAATATGGCAATTTTAGAGGTATTTGGCTTCGAAAATATAAACTTACTACCTAGACCAATCGAGATGGTGAACTTTTTTGAAATTTCACAATTTGGTGACTTTTTACATTTACTTTCATGTACTTGAATAAAAAAGAAATCCCTAGGGCAGAAGTACCGGTACAAAAAATATTGAAAAAATGTAATAATTTGTCGATTTTTCAACAAATTCCCATAGGGTCCTATAGTAAAGTTTGACAACATTTAAGATGGCCCACTAAGAAATAGGGGTGGTAAACATTCGATTTTTAAATCCTAAAACAATAAATATAACAGTAAAAATTAATCATCAAAAAATTATCAAAATCCCTAGGGTAGAAAAATTAGACTCGGTCTCGTTAATTTGTTTCTCGGCGGGTGAAGAAAATTCTTTGCCTTTCCCCATTTTAATCCCTGTTGAGATTCTGCTAGGCTAGATATTTGGACTGACGCCGTCGCAGAATCCCTGGACAACTACTAATAATTCATGTCTGGAGATTAAGTCCCAACTTTGGTCTACTATAGCAAGAATTATTCACCTAGACCACATTGCTGTTCGCTTCAGATTAGTTATTTGGTTGTTTCTTTACCTCACTATCACTATTATTTCTACTTTGCTCACCGTTTAGGCATGTAAATCCCAACATAAACACACTCACTGAAAACAACGTTCAAAATATGGCTCCCGTGACGTAATTGTTTACCTCCTCGTATAAAAGAGTTCCTATAGTCTCTGTTTTCTTTTATGAGATTCTGAACCAATTGCTATTATACATCAAACTATGTGTTCAAGTAAAGCGTGATTAAAAAACAATATTCATGCGAAGATATTATAAGATAAATTTCAATTTACTTAACTAATTAATCAATTAATTCAGATTTAAATTGACTTCCAAAATAAAAACAGTAGGCTTAATATGTATAATTTGTGAAAAAAGTAAGCTTAGTGATAGAAATTCTCAGTGAGTGATCATAATATTTACATGCATCATGAATTATACAGTTTACTAATTGTTTTTAGAATATTGATACATTATTTATATTTAATGAAACATATATTTGTTTAAAAAATTCAACCAACATGGTGACATTAAATACAATTAAATTCCAAGTTCTTCTTCAATTTCAATTGTGGAAGTGTTACATTTACAGCGTGAAGAACAGAATGAGCAACATTTGACTGCTGGACACAACTCCCCACTACCGTCACAATCCCTTCCATTTTCAGATAAAGGCATATCTCTCATTCCCACAATTGACATGTGTTTCAAAATTCCATATCTCACACACCTCTCTTTTTGCAGGGAAGATTTGGCAATGTTAATGATGCTTTCATCTGTGTTCTTCTTAATCATAGACCTACCATACGCATAGCAAATAGCATATGATTGCCGTCCGTCTCTATCTGCCCTCCCTACCTCCTGCCAGTAACTCATAACTGATTTTGGCAGCCCCCAATGTACCACAATTTGTATGTCTTTGATCTGTATTCCCATCCCAAATGCAACAGTTGCGAAGAGACAGCGAAGATTGCTTTCTTGCATTTTAAATGTTTCGAACACTCTAAGGCTGCTTTTCTCATCTATAGAGCGGTGAAACATATCTATTATTTCTATAGATTTGTTCCGCTCTAAAAGACAATCCTTAACATGATTATACAATGTTGCACTTGCTGTAACAGATCTGGAAAGTACTACAGTTTTTTAGATATAGGAAATTAATGACATGTTGATTTATTATATATATATATATATATATATATATATATATATATATATATATATATATATATATATATATATATATATAATTTGACAATTTTTATTGTTCGTGTCGTTGGTCATTTTTAGTGCTATATATATATATATATATATATATATATATATATATATATATATATATATATATATATATATATATATATATCCAAGTTTGAAAATTTCACAGTGTCCGGTTTTTATATAAACTTTTTCAAGACAATATAACTGAAAGAAGAGAAAAAGAGAAATACTTCATTCAAAAATTTAATCCCAGTCTTAACAGTTTGATTTAATTTGACTTCTGACAAAACTTTCACACAGAGTGTAACCTTTCGATTTTCTCCAGCTAAGAGTATAAACACATGTCGGATTTAGTTTCAAAAGTGTGAACAATCTGCAAGCATTTAATTGCTTGCTGTCAGATTCAATTATAGATAATGATTTTTAAAGTATTAATAGTTTTGTGAGACATTACAGTCAGGATAAAGTATGCATTTGTAAAACGTCTCAAGATGTAATGAAAGCGCTAACGTTTAAATCTGTGTTGCCTTTTTTATTTTTATTTTACCTATATATATATATATATATATATTGTATTTTTTGTTAGAAAGTACTCTTGCCTGCTATACACGATGATTTTCCTGGCATTGAGGCCTTTTGCGTCAGATATTAACAAGCCACTGTAATTCTCCTTTGTGATTGCGATACACAGAATTATGTAACTTAGTGTATTCTACATGCGTGCCAAGTTATACTGAAATCAGACCAAAACTGTAGGAGGAGTAGCATTTTGAAAGAATTTCACAGAAATTTCTATTTTAGTAACCACGACAACACCGTTTATTAACTGAGCACCGCTAAAAAGGACGTCATACTTTCCTTCTACAAAGAATGTGTTGTAGTTCTAGAGGATGCCACTTTTGTTTTTGAGGGTATATATTTACAGATTTTTTTTTTCATTTAGACTAACAATGCATGAGGATTACCTGTTTGAATATTCCAAGTCGCCTATTTCTAAGCGTTTGCGTCCTTTTCAGGGAATTTGTGATGTATTCTATCTTCACGGGCACTTTTCTTCTCCCACGGCAAGCTTATCCCTTTTTATTTTTCCCCGGATTGTAAACAGAAGTGGTTTCTGTGCCCTTTGATGACTAAATGTATAATGCAAATGAAAATATCTACTAACGCTCATATGCATAATATATACTGACATTAAACAATTTTTAACGTCTAATTGGTATCAGATCAGGAGACGAGATCGAATCCGAAGAATCTGCAGCAGAAGATTAAAGTCAAATTGTTAAGAGTCTGTTTTTGTAATTTTCTGCTTTTCATCATTACATTAAATAAAAACAGAGTACTATTTTGTTCTCAGTATATTTATAATGTAATATACCTAATATGTAGATTCCAAATACCGAGTAAGTATAAACATTGAACATAGAAGGGGGGGGGGTACAACTTCTGTTCTAAAGGAAAGTTTTTAAAAAGTGTGCGTATGTAAAATAAAATAAGGAATCAACAACAACAAAAAAAAAAAACAAACAAATATTTCTTCGAAATTAAAGTGAATCGTATTTTCGGAAAACAATACTTCATGTAAGTACAAGAATAGATAAAAAAAGATTTTTGGATTTGCCATAACGGGCCTCCATACCCGTAACCATGCAGAGAGAAATAATCTTTTTCTTGTTTAATTCCATAAATCCTTTCTAGTGCGAGTTGACAATTGTGACAAGCATCAACTTGTGCACATAAATGAGGAATAAGTGAAATTCAGACAGTCTTAAATACCCCGCAATCATCGGTTGCTATGTTAAAAATGCAACTTCCGTTAAAAAAAGTGCTCGCATTATTAAACGCAACGGTGGAAAATTTATTAAAATTCAAAACATGCAAACGTGATAGTTTTTGTTCATTTTAATACCCACCATGACTTGCGGTTTTAACGCCTTGCATAGTATCCGATGAAATTGAGGCTCTCTACGGCAGCAAATATAGCGTAATTTCACTATAATAGTGAGATACCACTATTATAGCGGAATTTACGTTTCCCCCCAACCTGTTCATTTTAAACGTGCTAGTCAGCCATGTACAACATAAGCAGCCCGAATTCTACCATGCAGTAAGTTTATCAATGTCTTAATCTGAGCGAAATAAATATTCTTGTCCTTTTTTCAATGCCCGTTTTTCAGATACTGAGGTCGAATTTTCTCTGACTTGGCGTAGTGAAGTAACCCTTGGACTTCCGGTCAAGGAACTGTCATTCATGCTTTTGAAACACATGAGCCCGAAAAGTCGTTATGTAGTGTATATTTGCATCTGTAGCTCTCCCTTTTCTTTATCTTGAAAATTTCCAAAATTAGCAATGAAAATGCGTGCTTTCAGTTAATTTGAGGAAATACAGGCATCACATCCGGAAGAGAAAGAAGGATATTTTTTCCGGACTTTGAGTACAAGACTTATGATGAACAGGTACAAAACCTTGAAAACCTAAAATATTGTCAATAATTTTATTAAAATAGCTTATTTTTGATTTCTGTTCAAGGAGCTAAAAAGTCAACTTCCGGTAATGGAATGAAAATCATTCAACCGTTAAATAACTGATTTGGCAAAGTAAAAGATTTCCTAACTTTTTTGGTACATAGTGAAATCCTGTATATAATTTTCACCCCTTAAATTTGGGTGTTGCGTTTCTATTGACGGTGAGTATATTTTTGTCCTTTCTAGGTCTGGAGCAATGGACCCAGTATATATAGATCTATTCTTTCTAAGGGTGTACCAACACTGTATTAGGCCATAGCTCCTAGACTGAGAAGTGAACTGTGTGTCAAAAACGTAAATCCCCTTTGACACACAGTTCACTTCTCAATCCATCTCCTGGAATGGGACATGTAATCTGACCAATAGAATCTTTCCCGAATTTCGTGTATTGTCTCGGATATGCCTGAGTGACCTGAAAGCAAGGAGTCAGGTAACAAAGTTAAAACTTCACTCTGCCAACATATTTGTACCAAAGTTGCAGTCTATCAGAATTTTTTTCAATATCCACCCATTTTCTGTATAAAACACCATGAACAATTTCAATTCTTTTCCACTGTAACCAATATGATTTCATTGATTTCCGGGTTGGAGATAGGTAAGACACTTCATGCCACTTAGGAGGTTTATCTTTGTATTTTTCTTTCAGGGAGGAGATGTTTCAGAACAGGATCTTGTCTCTTGGCTTGTGAGAGTTCATCATTTGATTTAGACTGGAACCAAGAAAGGTTATCGTTCCCTGAAACTGGACTGGCTTCCACTGTAGACACTGAATATACTCGTAGCTGATCATCAACTGATTCGTAATCCCGAGAAGAAGATTGGGTTGACACTTAGGCAACAATGAACATATTTACAGGACCCCCGAAGTTCGCCGTTACAAGTTCGTAAAATTGGATAAAACTTTCATTAATTCCTGAAATTGTATTTACTAGTATAAGCCTGGTCGCGGCCAAGATCTGCTCCTATAATTTCTGGTAGCGAAATATGAATAAACCTAGCTGGTAGTGGTTTTTACGAAAGAAATCAACAAACAGATAATAAAGTTTTCAAAATTATATTCTGATGGATATTCCAAAATTTAATATGATATTTAATAAAATTAACAAAAAATTAATTTAAAAGTATGGTCACACAACGTCACTTGCTAGATTTACAGGACCCCCGAAGATCACATAAAGTTGAATTAATTTTCTGATGCCAAATTTCATATGTAACTTATAAATGATATATATTTAAATTGAAGTACCTTGACATTTCACAGATCGTCTTGGAGCAACTAAAACTGAATAAAAATAAATTCCACAAGTCTATCCAACAAACTAGACAGAAAAGGTTAATAATTACTAAGGTTTTTATTTTGAATGAATTAAGTAATATTTTTAAAAATATATGTAAATAAGGGCGACTTTATCATATGCATGACCTTCAAAGGTTTCTGTAATTTAAATTGTTACCATACATAATGATGTTCTGATTGTTTATATACTGTTCAATAGTTTAAAGCGTTAACAAAAATATTGAAAAATCGTAAAAATCAGCCGTTAATGAAGTATAACAAGACATATCTCAGAAGCGTATTTGGTCTTTTGGAAAGATGATAAAATGCAGAAAAATAAAGAATTAACCACAGAAAAACATGTTTTAAATTTAAAATTATAATATTGAATGGATGAAGGAAAACAATATTGATGTTCTTACAGGAAAGACAGATAAATCAAGCAAAAATATTAAAATACATGTCATTAATAAAACGTGGGATAACTTTCACAGTTTTACCAATTTCAGATGCTGTAACAAATGTTTCAGGATACAATAAATGATAAATTATACAACGATCAGGAATTGCTCTCATCCTATTACAAACATTGAGTGAATTAGCACAAGGCAAGCCATAAATCCCATAATAAAAACTGGAATACAGGATATTCCCACGGACAATATAAACCAATCTGAAAATAAAAACGTAATGCAATGAGCAATAGAATAAGATAATCTTTTGTTCAAAGAACACGGGGCAAGAACATGTACTGATTATGAGTTAGATTAAATTCTTATAAATATTCATTTATATTAAACGTCACACATACCTGGAGGTGTATAACCGGACCCCTTGACCGGCTTTTTGACATTAACAAGCAATATTCCTGTAGTTTTATCAGCACTGTCATCACAGCAGAGTTTCACCATATAAGAGTTTATGTCCTTGTAAGAAAAGGCGGGATTTGCGCTGGTTAGAATGGAAAAGACGCCGCGGAAAGCGCCTGCCGTCGAGTTCCCTGTAACATTGAAATTCAGCGAAGGAGGAGAAACACTCTCTAGCAAGCAGCAAACCTCGTCGCCAGAGGGATCCTCAACAATCGTGGAGTATAAAACTTGTTCGCCGCCTGTCTGCTCAGCAACAGCCATGGAGTTGGGAAGATCCAACATTTCTGGAGGCTAAAACATCACATATAAAAAGTAATTAAGGTAGATTTCTGATCTGACAAGAGAGATTTAAAGAACATTTTACATTAAATAGATGTTATGGTAATATACATGTAGTTACACCAAGAAACATTGCATATCCTTCCCATTTGCAAAAATCAGCCATAACGGAACTGTTATAGTACATTTAAATTTAACAAGAAATCTGTGAGCGAATGCTCACTAGTAATACCCCCGCTCTGATGTAAATAAGCACTATCATGTTAATATATATACGCAAGTTCAATTACAGGCAGATGCACAGAAAAATATGAAGTTGACATTAGATTCATATCAAAATTAATCCCACCATATGGCATGCCTCAACAAAGGGTGTAATAAAATTTCAAGCATCCGCTATGAATAGCTAAAGAGAAAACTGCGACGAAAATTTGTTATGTGTAAAACAGACAGATGCACAGACAAACAGGAAGTTGATATCCAATTTGAAAAAAAATGTATCCCAAGATATGGCATACCTCCGAATAGATTTTGTTAAAATTTCAAGCATCTGCAACGAGTAGTTGCAGAGAAAACTGTGACGAAAATTTCTAATGTATGAAACAGACAGATGCACAGACAAACAGGAAGTTGACATCGGATTTAAGTGAAAATGTATCCCACCATATGGCATGCCTCAGAGAAAATTGTGTTAGAATTTCAAGCATCTACGATGAGTGGTTGCTGAGAAAACTGCGACGAAAATTTGTGATGTATGAAACGGACAGACCCACAGACAAACAGGAAGTTGACATCAGATTTGACTGAAAATGTATCCCACCATATGGCATGCCTCAGAGAAGATTGTGTTAAAATTTCAAGCATCTACGATGAGTAGTTGCTAAGAAAACTGTGACGAAAATTTGTGATGTATGAAACGGACAGACGCACAGACAAACAGGAAGTTGATATCGGATTTAAGCGAAAATGTATCCCACCATATGGCATGCCTCAGAGAAGATTGTGTTAAAATTTCAAGCATCTACGATGAGTAGTTGCTGAGAAAACTGTGACGAAAATTTGTTTCGGACGGACACACAGACACACGGACAGACACACAAGGGTAAAACAGTATACCCCCCTCTCCTTCGGAGCGGGGGTATAATTATGAGAAAATACAGAGACGTATTACCGGTAAGCAAATTTTAATTCGGCAATAAGACCCCCACCCTGCAAATACAATTTTTCTGAATATCTTCTTCAAGAAATGACGAGTTTGTCGATCTTTAAGTAAGAATAATGATCGCTTTTTAGAAATGTCGATGCTTAGAGAATATTGCTTTGCGGAAGGAAAAGGCACACAATTGGCATATTTATCATTTTTCACGATGAAACATAAAGTTTTTATCTCAAGTCGACAGTTCTATTTTTTTTTCATTAATTTAAAAATGAAAATGCCTAATCTAATTAAGTATAAAACTAAAGCCTATCAATGTTTATGAAACAAGTCAGCCAAACAATGACCCAATGTATCTTCTATTCAACCTCCTCATAAAGAGAACGAAATATACTACAGTTGTGACGAGAAAGAAACTTATTCCCAGAGTATGGGTCTAAGTGATACTTTTAGCCTTTATTGAAAATCGTGCAATTGAGAAGTTAACTTGAATTTTTCGAAAAAGTAAAGGTTTAATGCAATAGTCTGAAAACATATTGAATTTTACAGGGTAGAAACAAAAATTACCATATTTTGTGATTCAACAGAAACTGTCACTGTGGCACTGGTATTACACGAATCCCTTGCTGCTACACGCACTAGGTAGTCCTTTAGAACTGTAGCTCTCTGCATCTTTTTTGCGATCTTTACTTGTCCTTTAAAAATGCATTAAATATGCCGAATTTCTTTACACATGCCATTTTTTTTAATTGG